CTGCTGGTCCCAGTTTCTATTGGGAACAGACTCAGGGGTGAGTCTTAGAGGGGCTGTCCACAGGTCCATTTGTCTGTCCAGGTCCTCCTGGGAGCCTCACCTGGGAGACCAAGAGGAGGTGTGTTGGGAATATGGACACACGTGCCCCCACCCAGCTGGACGGCACAGAGAGGGCCCGGCCTGGAGAGTCGGCGGGGCCCTCAGACAGTGCCCTCCTCCGCGCGGCCCTCGGGGAGCAAGTCCGTGCAGGGCAATGCGGGAGGTTCACAGGTTTCCGACAGTAGCCAGGGCTCCCGGGCTCCCGGGCCTGCCGTGTTCTGAGGAGCCCGGCCACGTGCCCCCGCCCTGCAGTTCTCCCTCGGGGGGGCGCTGCTCGCCTGGCTGTGGGTGCGGGGCAGGAGCTGGGCTCCCAGCCCCTCTGAGGGACCGTGGGCCCGGGGGTGGTCTGCTGCTCCTGAGGGTGCCCACCCGGTGCGGCCCTGGGACGGCAGGAGGGCAGTGTCCACAGGGAGCAGGGGTTCAGGTGGGAGGAGAGGCTGGGTTCCTGCCCCATGCCACCTGCCACCGTGGGCAAGTCATGGAAAAGTTCTCCAAGTTAGGGGGCATGGAACCCTCCGGAAGGGAGCCGACAGCAGGTCCCTGAGTGGCTCCCGAGCGAGGAGGCGGCAAGGCGGAGCCAGTGGGCATTTGTCCTGCAGTCAGGCAGGGCTGTCCCCACGCAGGCCCCTGGGAACACTGGGGTGGGGTGGCCTGGCTTCAGAGGTTTCATCCTTCTCAGAACCCAGAACCCGAGTCCAGGCCTGCGATGCGGGGGCCTTGGTCTGGAGGCCGGGGGCTGGGGGCAGTGGGCACTGTAGGAGCTGCTGACCAGCACCGCCCGTCTCCCGGGTACCCGTTGTCTGCACTGTGTAAGAAACCACCACAAATGAGCGGCTTAAAATGACACACATTTATCATCTGCCAGCTTCTGTGGGTGGGAGTCCAAGCACGGCTCAGCTGGTCCTCGGCAGGGTCCCACAGGCTGTGGCCGAGGTGACGGAGGGACTGCGGTCCCCTCTGCAGGCTTGATGGGGAAGGAGCTCCTTCCAAACCCGCAGACTCCTGGCCGAGTTCAGCTCCTCTGCCTGGGAAACGGGACCCGGGGACACGGAGACATGGGAACACAGGGACACGGGGACACAGGGACATGGGGACACAGGGACACGGAGACATGGGGACACAGGGACACGGAGACACGGAGACATGGGGACACAGGGACACGGGGACACAGGGACATGGGGACACAGGGACACGGAGACATGGGGACACAGGGACACGGGGACACAGGGACATGGGGACAGGGGCCCGTTTCCTGCCCAGCAGCGGTCAGCACCTCTCAGCAGCCAGCAGGGGGCACTCTTAGTTGTTACTATCTCGCGACCCGTCCCATCCCACCTGTGTGCACTCGATTGGTTACAAGGAAGGACAGGTCTCGCTGCCCTCAAGGTCGGGGTTCAAGGAGGTGCCACACCCCAGGAAGGGCCACATCAGGGAGCCCCCCTGGCATGTCTCAGTCCCTTATCCATCTGGCTCTCCATGCACCCACCCTCCAGGATTTGGGCTCTGCTTTGGAGCAGGCCTTCAAGGCTGCCACAGGTGTGGCCACCAGGCCCGGAGTGCTCGGCCTGGCACTGGCTGAGGGCCGCCGGGCATCGGCTGTGGCCTGGACCACGGCAGACAGCCCTGGGCAGCAGGTGGGTGTGAGATGGCGTCTGCTCTGGGGCAGGGATGGGAGGCTCCTGGCCCAGCTTGGTCAGTGCGGCTCACACGCTGACCAGCCCCCAGATGCCCCGGACACCCTGCAGCACAGCATAGATCCCCGGCACCCCCCTCAGATCCTTGCGAGTGGTAGGGAGGCAGGCCGGCGTTGGGGGAGCTTCCTCATGGACATGAACGCTGGTGTCTGAAGCGTCTAACACCAACCCCCCAGCTCCCCCAGAAATAGAGAAGACGGGGGAGGGGGGCACAGGCCTCCCAGGATGTGGGAGAGCAGAACCCTGGCATCTACTCGCTTAGCTCCCTCTGTGTCCAGTGCCCCTGGGACCACTGGGCCAGCCCCCGGCTCCGTCCAGCCTCAGGTGACTCGGGGGCCTCCACCAGGGTAGGTGGGCTCCAAGCCTGAGTCAGAAGCCAGCAGGTGAGACAGGCGTCTGATCGAGCTTTTCTACCAAAGGGCTGGAGCCGAATTCAGACCCCGCCTCTGCCGGCAGGTGCCCAGGTGGTTCCCAGGGTAGGGTGAATTCCAGTGGGGCTGGGTCCAAGCCCCATCCCAGCTTGGCGTCACCCTCCCCCAGCTCAGTCCCAGGTCCTCTTCACTCTACCCCACAGTCCTGGGCCCGCCTCTCCCCTCCAGCCCCACCCCACGTCTGGGTCCCACTCTGCTACACCAGCAACTGCCCGGGACGAACCCGGTGGTCATGGGGGCCAGTCCATCTGCTCCTGTTCCCCCACCCCCAGCCAATGGCTCTGGCATGCGTCAGTCCCCCCCGGGTTCCTGGGGGCTGGGGCTGGGTATTGAGGAGAGTCAAAGAGTCCCATGGCAGACATGCGGCCCACCTCGCCTGGCTGCCATGTGGACACCGGCTCCTCGCAGGGTTGGGGTTTGAACTCCAGCCCTGGGCTGGACACACACAGAGAGACCAGGAGGCACACATACTCCAAAGGCCCCATGTGTGGGCCAGGATTGCAGTTCTGTGGAAATCAGCAAGAGGCATCCCGGAGGGCTCCCAGGAGGAGGTGGGGGCTTAAAGGAGCTGTATTTGAACAGCAGGAGGAGAGCAAACAGTTCGCAATACTGGGCACTGGGCAGTCTTGACCCTGACCATGGCTTGTGTGAAAGGAGTCACTTGGAGCCCAGAGGAAAGACAGGCCGGGAAGCCTGGTGGGAGGCAGTGTCCGCAAGAGCTGTGAAGGCCAGAGCCAAGCAGGGCTGGGCCTCAGTCCTGCCACACACAGTCTTGGCCCTGTGCTTGTCCGTCCAGGCCCACGGCGTAGAGGGAGCTCCAGTCTCGCTCAAACAGCTGCCGCAGCTGCTCCTGCACAGTGCCCACCCCTGCCCTGGGGCCAGGGGCCCTCTGGCTGACCACCAGGCCCACGCCCGAGGTGCTGCTGAAGTAATCTTCCGACCAGTTGGAGGTGCCTGCGGGAGGTGAGGGGCAGGAGAGATGCTGGGCGCCTGGACTCACACGGGCCCCTCCAGCCTGGCCCAGGCCTGTGGGGACAGGTGGCCACTGGGCTGGTTGCAGGGTCCTCAGAGCTGCACGGGGACCCCACAGAGGCCCCGCTGGCAGCCCCTCTGTCCTCTGATCTAAGAGCCATGCCCCCCGTCAGCCCCCGGCCTGGCCACAGCCCGGGCACGTCCCCCTTTCTGCAGGCTTGTGTAGCCTCTGTGAGTCACAGCACTCCCCCGGTGCCCCTCGAAGACTCAAGGGTCCTGAGGCTGCCCAGGCCCAGCCCCACCACAGGCCTCCCCCTGCGGCTCACCTATGTAGGCCGCCTTCTCTGTGACCATGAACTTGCTGTGGTTCACCCTGCTGAAGGGGATGTTGGAGTGATTCCCCACAGGCACGATGAAGACTTTCTTTGGGGGCAGAGAGGGAGCGTGTCAGGGATGGGAGGAGGGCCGCCCTCGCCCAGCCCGGCCCAGCCCGGCCCAGGGAGTGGGTCCTCACCACGTCCACGGAGACGTTGATGGCGGGGTCGCTGAAGGCCTGCAGGGACCGCAGGTAAGAGAACATGCTGGGGTCCGTGTTGAGCCAGCAGCTGACCAGCAGGCGCACCTGCACCTGCCGGCTGAAGGCCGCGGCCCGTAGCGCGTTGTCCAGCAACGGCCAGTACCTGGGGGAGCGGAAGGTCAAGGTCCTGGCGGGAAGGGGAACGCGCCGGGAGCCGCCCGTGAGCAAGGCAGGCCTCCGCCCCAGGGCCACCGGCCCCACCTGGCAGGATGGCGGAAGCGCGTGGTGGGGAAATAGTCCATCACCGAGACGTAGATGAACCGCCGAGCTGCGCGCATCACCGCCAGCAACGCGTCCAGGTCGTGGGTGCGGCCGCGGGGGCAGAGCTTGGGTGGTGACGCCTGTTCCCGGAGAGAGGGGTCCCTGAGGGCACTGCCCCTGTTCTGAACCACAAGGCTCCCGGACCCGCCCTCCGGGATCTGGGGCCCAGGAGGGAGACAGGCGCTGCCTGGAGAGGCAGGACGGCCGGGCCACCCTGACTTCCCTGAGAAAGAGGCCCCCCGTGCTAGGAGGGGCTGCACACCTGCTAGGGCCCCCCCCCTTCCGGGGCAGCATCCCCACCCTGACACCAGCTCCCTGCTGTGGACCAGCCACGGGGGGGGAGGCTGTGTCCCGAGGGAAAGGGCGTCTGCTGGGGGCCATGGCGGCCCCCTGTCTCCTTCCGTCCCCGCAGTGACACGATCGCTGGATCACCTGCCCCCCCAAACCTCCCTAGTCCAAGCTAGAGCCCCTTGGCCCCCACTGGCAGTGTTTGGAGACACCCCTGCCCCCCCAAGGCACCGCCAGGCTGGCTGTGTCCTGTGGGTGCTAATGGCCTGCCCCTCGCCCAGGACCGCAGCCGGTCCCCTGAGGACCCTGCAGGCTCTGTGAAGGCTGCAGGGTGGGCCAGGGGGGAGCAGGGCTCCCGTGGGTCTCCTTGGCCCTCTTACCGAGAAGTAGGCCGTGGTGGGCACCCCATCGAAACGGGCCCGGAGGGGCTGGAAGTGGTTGATGTGGGACGAGAAGGTGCGAGGCCAGTGCCTGGGGAGCACAGCCTTGGGCGCCCCCAACACCCAGTAGGTTTGGAAGGTCTTCTCCAGGTCGCGGGCCAGGCGGCTGCAATTGTAGATGACCGCGCCCAGCTCCTTCACCTACGGGACGGTCAGGCCGCGGCTGTGGGAGGAGGGCCCCCAGGCAGGGCTGCCAGGCAGGGTGCAGCCCCGACACCAGCGGCAGGGCAGGGCCAGGGCGGACAGGGTGCCGGGGAGCCCTGGGGTGGGGTGCCCAGCGGGTCCCTGTTTGTCTTGAACATGGCTTCCAAGGATCGAAGCAATACATGCTCACTACCCAAAAAGCAACGGAGCCCTGGCCGGTGCGGCTCATTGGTTAGAGCGGCACCCGGTGCGCCAAAAGGCTGCAGTTTCCGAACCCTGGCCTGGGTCAGGGCGGGTGCTAGAGGCAACAAATTGATGTGTCTCTCACACATGAATTTTTTTTTCTCTCTCTCCCTCTCTCCCTTCCACTCTCTCTAAAAAAAAATCATGGGAAAAATATCCCAGGCGAGAATTAACGGAACAAACAAAACAATGGAAAACGCATAAAAGCGCCGAGAAAGATCACCTTCCCCTTCACCTCCAAGGCCCAGGCAGTTACCTCCCCACTGCTTTTCCCGAAGGGGACCAGGCTCGCCCTCTGCGTGTTTGCCTGGATGGAGGGAGCGAGTGCATGAGATTCCACGGCATGGGCTGGTGGCCAGGCGGAGTTCTGTAACTTACGGAATCAGCCTCCGGCGGGTGCCGCTAGGGTGGCGTTATAGACGTGGCTGTGTCACCCAGGCCTCCATTTGGTGACTAGCCGCAGGGGACACCAGGCAAAGCTCCCAGAGCATGGGCAGGGGACAAGCGTCGGGAGTGGGGCATCTCCCCGTCCGGGCCCTGGGGCTCACCTGTGTCAGGGACCGCCAGTCCATGTTGGCACTGCCCACGTAGGTGTGCCGCCCATCCACGACCCAGAACTTGGAATGCAGAACGCCCCTGGTGAGCTTCCCCATGGGCACATATCGTACCTGGGCACCTGGCCGGGAGTCCAGAAAGACAGGGTGAGCCAGCTCCCTGGTGAGCCGGCTCTTACAGCTGGGTCCACTCATTTATCCTCACAACAGCCCTGCTCGGTCGCTATCACTGTCACCCCCATTTTACAGGTGGGGAAACTGAGGCATTGACTGGCCCGGGACCTCCCCAGGGCAGCCTGGCTCCAGAGCCGAGCCACCTCGTACCGACTTTGCTGCCTGCCTCCTGCGGCCTGGCCAAGCCTCCCCCCCGCAGGTCAGAGCAGCTGGTTCCGCAGGACCCCGGTCCACCCTGTGCTGCACCCTGTGGACAAGGACACCCCCGGCTCTTTGTCACCAGCGGGTCCCATGAAGCTGACTCGAAGAAGCCCGAGGCTCGGAGCTCCTACCCTCCCGGGGTCCTGGGAAAGCACAGGGTGTTTTTCCAGCCTCTTTGCAGCACCTCTGCTGTCCCTGTCCCTGTCCCTGTCCCTGTCCCTGTCCCTGTCCCTGTCCCTGTCCCTGTCCCTGTCCCTGTCCTTGTCCATGATGCCAGCAAGTCAGCCCACGTTCAACCCCAGCGCAGAAGGTGCGGGACAGGCACCTGCCTCGGGCTTCCAGGACCTTCAGGTCGGTGGAGTTCCTGGCCAGTGTTGGGTAGCTGGTGGCCACAGCCAGGGACACGTTCCGGTCCAGGACCTGCTGCAGCTTCCGCAGAAGGGCCTCTCCCTGCAAAACCAGGGTGGCAGTGAGCTGTCCGCCTGGGCAGGCCCTCTGCTGCCCCCACCAGGAAGGACCCAGACCTTCCCCAGAGACTCCCCCACCCGCAGCTCAGTCAGACTGATGGGCGGCCCAGCTTGCTGTGCGTGTCTGGGTGGTGGGGTGGAGGGGCGCACCAGCTGGGAAGAGGAGTCGTTGACCCCAATGTCCGGGCCCGTGAGTGACCAGTAGTACGAGGCTATGTGGACGCTCTCCTGGGCGGCATCCAGCAGCTGCAGCCAGGCCTGGGCCAGGGGCTGGGCGGATGGGCTGCCAGCTGCGAAGGGCAGGTCCTGGGGGCTGCTTTCCACGAGGACCAGCCTGTGGAGGGAGCCCATGGGCCCGAGCATGAGTTCAGGAGCCAGCAGCCTGCCTCCTGTCACCCGCCTTGTCCCTGCCAGCCAAACCAGGGGGGCTGCTGTCAACAGGGCCCCAGGGCCCAGGCCAAGGATGCAGGGAGGGGCAGCCAACCAGTCTGGGAAGGGCAGGCCTGAGCCGAGCAAGCCTGCAGGGGGAGGTGACACCCAGGAGCCTGCCAGGGAGGGGGCTTTGAGCAGGGCAGATTGGGGACTGAGGCCCTACCCCAATCTCAGACACTGCCCGGGGGGAGCTGTTGTCCCTCGAGCCCAGCAGAGCTGGTGTGGAAGCCCTGGAGGCGACCAGGACTGACCCACAGGGAAGGGCTGGCCCAAGGCATGGTGAGCCCCAGTCCCTGCACACAGGGCCAGGCACCACTCCCAGGGCTGGCCGTGAAGGTGCCACACCTCGGCCCAGTGGGACCCGGTTGACCTGCCTTGTCAGAGCCCCCAGGGGGCACCTTGTGTTTGCTGCAAGGCACACCTCAAGTCCACCCCGTTCCCAGCCCCTGCTCCAGCCCATCCAGTCCGGGGCCTTCCCCCCACCCCCGGCTCCCCTGTCTCACTGCCTCCCTCCCCGCATCTTCCAAGAGTAGCTGGCAGAGGGCATGGCTTAGCCCCCAGGGGAGCCCCCCAGGAGGATGGCGTGGCCCCCACCCTGCAGATCCCGCAGGCTCACTCACTGGCAGGAGTCTGGCCGCTGCCACTGGGCCTCCCCTCCCAGGGGCTCCCAGGCTGGGCTGGAGCCCCAACCCTGGGACTTGGCGGGCCTGTCCTCGGGGTGCCGCTGGCCCCAGGTGGTCAGACAGGGCCCCCCCCACAGGAGGCAGATGAGGGTCACGCCGCCAAACCACAGCACGGCCAGTGCTCCCAGCACCTGCAACTGAAGAAGGCGTCACCGAGGGTCCCCGGCCCCTGGGGAGGGCCAGGCCTGCCGCTGGGGTGGGGTCAGGTGGGACAGAGGGGGAAGGCGCTGAGCAGGGGCCAGACCCACAGTGTTGGTAGGATCAGGTGGCCATGTGGTCACCGGCTGTCCTTCCAGGTCCCCCCATGACTAGTGGATTTGGGCAGGTGCTGAGCAGCCCCTCAGGTTGGGGTGCCCTAAGGCTCCCCCTTGGCTGGTTTCGTCCTTGCTGCTCTGCCCACAGGCCTGTGAGACTGCTGAGCCCCCTCCCTCGGCCCCCGTCTTACCATGCCCACCTCCCTGCTCTGTGGGCTGTGGGGCAGCGTGGAGCAGGGCCACTCAGGGGCCACCGATGCTCTCTGCGGAGGTCTCAGCATCTGCACGGGACAGCCTGGTGTCACTCACAGCCCTGGCCATAGTGCCCGGGGAGCTGGGCGCTGGGGACACCCCCACCATGAGGACCCCACAGACACCTGCTCAAACCCCCGAGGCCTCCCTGCTCCTGCCCAAGGCCCCACTGGGGTGCGAGGCTCCAGTCTGCTGCCCCACCCGGGCAGTGTGGCCTGCGGGCGGTGGCCCCTGAAGCTGGAAGAGCCCCTGGACTTTGCCTAGTGACTCTGTGTGTGTGTCTGTCTGTCGGTGTGTCTATGTGAGTGTGTTCCTGTGTGTGTGCCTGTGTGTATGTGTTTCTCTGTGTATGTCTGCGTGTCATGTCTGTGTGTGTCTGTGTGTGTGAGTCTGTGCGTGTCTGTGTGTGTCTGTGTGTCTATATGTGTGTGTCTGTCTCTGTCTCTGTGTGTGAGTCTGTGTGTGTTTTCACCTGTCTATGTGTATGTGTTTCTGTGTGTGTGTGTGTGCGCGAGTCTGTGCGTGTCTGTGTGTCTACACGTGTGTGTCTGTCTCTGTCTCTGTGTGTGTGAGTCTGTGTGTGTTTTCACCTGTCTATGTATGTGTTTCTGTATGTGTTTCTGTATGTGTGTGTGTGTGTGTGTGTGCGTGTGACCAGCTGTGTGAGCCCCTCTCTCGGTCTCCCTCCCGGTGGGTGTCTGGGTGTCAGAATCTCAGTTCCTTGTTTCAACCACAACTGCAGTGAGGGTGAGAGTCAGTTCTGCTTTCGAGCTTGGCCCCCTTTACAGTCCTATAAATAACCGCTTCCCTCCCCAGGCTGGGCCCCTGTGTCCCCCCCGCAACCTCCCAGAGCTGCAGTGCCCTTGCCTTGGCCAAAAAGCTGCCACATGGAGAGGCAGAGAAACCTGGTGTGGGCTGAGTCAGGCAGGGACCCCACAGCTATCAGGGGGATGGTGGGCTGAGCGGGGCCCCCAAGATGCTGTCTGGGTGGCTGTGGGCTGAGCGGGGCCCCCAAGATGCTGTCTGGGTGGCTGTGGGCTGAGCGGGGCCCCCAAGATGCTGTCTGGGTGGCTGTGGGCTGAGCGGGGCCCCCAAGATGCTGTCTGGGTGGCTGTGGGCTGAGCGGGGCCCCCAAGATGCTGTCTGGGTGGCTGTGGGCTGAGCGGGGCCCCCAAGATGCTGTCTGGGTGGCTGTGGGCTGAGCGGGGCCCCCAAGATGCTGTCTGGGTGGCTGTGGGCTGAGCGGGGCCCCCAAGATGCTGTCTGGGTGGCTGTGGGCTGAGCGGGGCCCCCAAGATGCTGTCTGGGTGGCTGTGGGCTGAGCGGGGCCCCCAAGATGCTGTCTGGGTGGCTGTGGGCTGAGTGGGGACCCTGAGATGCTGCCTGGGGGCTGTGGACTCAGTGGGGACCCTGAGATGCTGTCTGGAAGGCTGAGGGCTGAGTAAGGACCCCGTGTCACTGTCTGGGGGCTGTCCCTCTGCAGTAGGACTCGGCAGCCATCTGGGAACAGAGGGCTGGTCTTGTCTCTTCAGAGTGGTCACTTACCCAAGGAGCCCGAAGCCAGGCCAGCTGGCCCCTGCTGGAGTTGGGCCTCTCCCCACAGTGGCCTCCAGTGCCACCACAAGCAGGGCTCTCCCGAGTTCAATGTGCCCTCGCTGGGGTTCAGCGAAAGGCCCATGGCCAGTCACTGGGCCACTCTGGATGGCCAAACTCTGACACCTTCAGAGAGGACACACAGCCCTCCCTCCATCCTGGGTGTGGCCGGGATGGGCCTCTGACCAAGGCACCTTCCAAGCCTGACCCTCAGAGCCATCCATCTCCTCTTGGCCACTAGGAACTCATAGGACTGGGAGGCTGGCCACCGGGATGGCTCTAGGCAGGCGCAGACCTGTTTACTCACTGAGCCCTGGGGACCCTGGTTGTCCCTGCAGGGGGGCCAGCTGTTGGGAGAGAATGACCCCCTAGCTCTGGTATCTCAGGGCTGCGATAGGCTGGGAGAAGTGGCTGAGCCCCCCAAGCCCCGTGTGACCCTGGAGGCCTCAGAGGTCTTAGCTGGAGGTGCAGGATCTCCTGCCCTGCAAGATGTGGGGTGTGGCCGCCGGGCCCAGGCTGGGACAGAGGACCTGCTGTCAACTCGCTGGGAGACCCCTAGGCCCTAGCGGTCCTGCGGTAGAAACTGGGGAGGAGTGGGTGGTCGCAGGCCCAGCTCTTGGCTCTGTCACCCTGGGGGCCTGGGGTTGCTGGCAGCAGGGGGCTGGGAAGGGCCACAGCCTCTTTCCCAGAGCCTCTGGCCTGGCCCTCCCAACCCGCCCTGGCTCGGCTGGCACTTACCTCTGAGGGTGCTGCCTTGGCACTCATCTTAGCTCCGGCCTGACTGCAGCCCTCAGCTCTCTGGGCGGGCTCCCCGCGGCCTCCACCCCAACCACTGGCCTCTGCTCCACAGCCTGTGCTTCCCCTTCGGTCACTTCCTCTCAGTCCTGAGCACCTCGCTCTGCACCCGGGCAGATGACATCTGGAACAGGGTAGGTCAGCTCCAGGGTGAGGCTGAGAACTTTTACTTCCAGATAAAAGCCACTCTCCTCTCCACCTCTACCGTGGACGCATTCCAGGCACAGCCTGTGTACCAGGTTTCATGCAAGCCCCAGGGGACCCAAGGAACCACGGCTCAAGTGAGATTGCTTATTTCTCTCTCACACCGACCAAGTTCAGGGGCTGGTGGTCTAGAAATGGTGTTGGCTTCACAGATCCAACACCAGATCCCTCCAGCTCTCAGCTTGTCCCTAAGGTTGACCAGCAGCCTCATGACCCCACAATGGCTGCCTGAGCTCAGCCATCACCCGCATGCTCCTAGCAGAGCTTAAAGGATATCCCAGAGACTTCCTGGAAGTCCCACAGGAGATTTCTACTTATGTTTCCTCATCTAGAACTTAGTCTCTTGACTGCATCTGGCTGCAAGGGAGGCTAGGAAATGGAGGCAGCTAGGACCTCCATCCTGGGGAAGGCAGGTGGGGTTGCTCATTGGCTGTCCAAAAAGGCAGGCCCGGCTAGAGGTTACCAGGTCTCAACCCCAGCAAGGGGCTCTGCCTCACCCTTTACCCCTCCAACTGGGGCTCCCTGAATACAGGACCCTGTTGCCCCACAGACTTTACCTTTAGAATAGCTCTCTCACTTTGAATGAGGTCTGGGTGTCTGCCCTAGTTCCCCCTTTTAAGCTCCCATTCAGGGCAGGAGCTTCAGGGGACCCTGTCCAGGGTGCTGGCCTGAGGGTGACCAGCAGTTCCCAAGGTCAGGGTCAACAGGGAAGCCTTGGGGTCAATGTGGGTGGCCTGGGAAGTGAATGGGAAATGATGGCCCTGGGTCCCCTCACTTTCTTAATGGCCCCTTGGCCCACGACTGTAGACACTGTCACACCAGCTTCATCGATAGTTTTGCTAAGGCATTGTAAAGTAAAGGAGAGCACAAATGACATTTCACTCCTAACTGCATTAGTATGCATTTCTAAATAAATAAATTTCCTACAAAATCACAACACAATGATCCCTCCTGACCAAGTCAATAATTTCTTAATTTTATCAAATTCTTGCAATGCTATTATTATTATTTTCAGTCTCGTAAATTATCCATCTTATAATTATTTTATTGGTCAGGGTATGTTTAGAATATCCACTTTTACCAATTTATCTACTCACTTGACTTGTTTTACTTCCGACTCTCCCCCGGTGACCACTGTCCTTCTTCTTGGAATACCTCCTTTAGAAGCCACTTGAAGACTAATTTAGCTGGGTATAAAATTCTTGGTTGTCCATCACTTGCCTTGATTGGGGATAAATGCTCAGTTTTCAGTTAAATGCTCAGTTTTCAAAGCTTTCTTGCTGTAGAGCAGCCATGTGGGCAGGCACCGAGGTTTGCGTGTGCACCTTGATAGGTGTGTACAGGTCACACACCTGTGGAACCACCATCCAGACTGAGGCGGAAGACAGTCCCCCGACTACCTTCTCGGTCCACACCTCTCTCCGAGATGGAACCGTGGTGGTGACTTCTGTGGATGTGTATTCTTGCCGCACGTAGACCTTGGCGTTGGCTCTGTCGTCCATCAGAACGTGTGAGGTCGCAGCTCTTTCTTATTGCTTTGCGCTCTCAGGAGCATGGACACAGCAGGAGGGACGTGAATTCTGTTGGCAGCCGTGGGGTGTGCGTCCGGTGGCGGCTGTGTGGACAGGGCTGCCGTGAGCACTCGCACGTGCCTTCCCATGGTCGTGTGCACGCAGTCCTCCTGGGTCAGAGGCTGACGCTCACACAGTTGTGGTGAATGCTGCCCGACTCACCAGCCCCGACAAGCACCCCGGTGGAGCTGTCCTGGTGGGCGTCGCGGTGCCTCGTGGTGGTAACGGTGCACTTCTCTGAACAGGTGACCTCGTGGTTACTGACCACTCAGACAACTGCCTGTCAACTGCCTGCTCAAGCCCTCGGCCCCCTTTTTTATTGGGCCAGCTCTGTTTTTCTGCTTGTGGTAGTTGTGTACTCACACACAAAGTGTTTATTGGATCTAAAAATAGTTAACATTTTTCCTATTCACTTCTTACAGGTGTTTTTTGATGAATTGAGTGCCTGAGGGGCCACCATGGGGCCAGAAAAGTGAGGCCCAGCAGGGAGCAGCAGGTCTGAAGGTCTCCATTGGGCAGCAGGAGGGCCTAGCTGCTCAGACTGGCGTAGGGAACACAGCCGGTGTGGGGAACAGATCTGGCGTGGGGAACAGAGCTGGCGTGGGGAACAGAGCCGGCGTGGGGAACAGAGCCGGCGTGGGGAACAGACCTGGCGTGGGGAACAGACCTGGCGTGGGGAACAGAGCTGGCATGGGGAACAGAGCCGGAGTGGGGAACAGACCTGGAGTGGGGAACAGAGCTGGCGTGGGGAACAGAGCCGGCGTGGGGAACAGAGCTGGAGTGGGGAACAGAGCTGGAGTGGGGAACAGAGCTGGAGTGGGGAACAGAGCCGGCGTGGGGAACAGAGCCGGCGTGGGGAACAGAGCCGGCGTGGGGAACAGACCTGGAGTGGGGAACAGAGCTGGAGTGGGGAACAGAGCCGGCGTGGGGAACAGAGCCGGCGTGGGGAACAGAGCCGGCGTGGGGAACAGACCTGGAGTGGGGAACAGAGCCGGCGTGGGGAACAGACCTGGAGTGGGGAACAGACCTGGAGTGGGGAACAGACCTGGAGTGGGGAAGTGCTGAGGCACAAGTGGCCCCTGCTCCGCTGGTCGAGTCACCCATGAGCATGCTCTGGTCGTGGCCGGCCTTGTGGGCTCATTGCATGCTAGACATTTGCTCCAGCCCAGCCTGCCCTTTTATTTAATTTTTTTTAAATCCTCACCCAAGGATTTTTTTTTTATTGATTTTTAGGGAGAGGAAGCGGGGAGAAGAGATAGAGAAACACCGATATGAGACAGAAACATCGATGGGTTGCCTCCTACACGCTCCCTGACTGGACTGAATCCACAAACTCCTGGTGCACAGGATGACACCCCAGCCGACGGAGCCACCCGCCAGGGCTCGACTCCCCCTCTGGCCTCAGGGTCCTCCCTGCAGCTGGAGGTGGGGCTGGGACTGCCCCCGGTGTGAAGACCAGGGAGCGTCACACTGCAGGTGGGGGACGTCAGCGCAGAGCGAGTGCCAAGAGCACCCCACCCCTGCACCCATCCAGAGGGAGGAGTGGGCTCGGCGGCACAGCCAGCTTGAGACGAGCCTGCGGACGTGGCCGCCTTGACCAGCTGGGATAAAATGACCTCTCTGATGAGCCAACATCTGGAAATTTCTGCTTCGCTTTCTCGCCCAGGCTGCCACCTGGTGGCGACTCTCTGCATTGCAGGGCCCCCTGGTCTTGGGGGTCAAACGGGAGTTTCCAGCCCAGGAAGGGAGGCCCCGGGGCCAAGAACTCCCCACCCCCACCAACCGCCACCACCAAGAAACGAGGCCCAGGCGAGGCCGCCGGGATGCTGCCACATGATAGAATGATTTATTAGAACAAATTCCATGACAAATCATATAAAATAACCATTTTCTGAAAGACACCCATAGACCACCTGAGGACAAACACAGAGGAGCCTCGGCGAACCCAGACAAATAAGTTACCAATCCCAGGTCGAGGGCTGGAGGGGGCACACGAATCTATGAATAAAAAAAATTGTACAGCCATCCGGGGGTGGGGGGTGGATGGAGAAGGTGTGGTGGATGGAGGAGCTGTGGCCACTGCGTGTCTCCGGGACGGCTGCGGGCAGCTACGTGGGGCATGCAGGGTGGGGACTGGGACTAGCACCTCCTCCGAGCGACACAGCAGGCTCTCGGGTGGGGGCCAGGCGGGGACCCCACTGCCACTCACACACGTAAACACTGGGTGGGGCGCAGGCCACGCACTGGGTGCCCAATGTAAACAGAGCCACGTCAGCCATGTGGGCTCCATCCAGCCACAGTGGCCCCCCCAGCAGCTGATTCCTCCTGCAGTCAACACTCATAGAGATGCCAGGGGGTGCAGAGTGCACCCACGCCACTCTGCTTGAGGTGGGGCACCCCCACACCCCAAAAGGGCTCTTTGGCTTAGAGGCTCCAGGAGGGGCCGCCTGGCATGTTCCCAACAGAATCCTGAGAAAACGAAACACTCCTGGGGCCTGTGCCTAACACCGCCCCACGGGACTGGGGCCTGTGGGGCCCGAGCTGCTTATAGGTGCCCCATTAATGCCCAGCGCCCAGGACAGGGTGGCGTGTTGCCTCGGCAGCCTCTGAAAGCCCGCCTGCAGCCACTTTGGTCTGGCGCTCACCCCCACCTGGCCCAGGACCACCAGACGCCAAGCCCAAGGGCACAGCACACACAGATGTGCCCGGGCTGGCGGTGAGCAGGTGTGAGCGTAGGCGGCACCTGCGAGGCAGCCGGCACACCCAGCAGCCTCCCTGCAGCAGCCTGAACACATGGGTTTGCAGATGTGTTGGCACCAAAGGCTCGAAGCTCTGGGGTTCCCACCCCAGACGTTGCCACAGCGACATCCCTGCCCTGGCCGCTGGACTCCGGGGCAGCCTGGCGGCAGCACCCTGCCTGTCCTGCACCCTCGAGTCCTGGGGTGGGGAGCTGAGCCCCTCCCAGCTCCCTGTTTGGCACTGAATGACCCCACGGACGGCCCCTTCTTCTGCCTGGCCGGCCAGCACACAGGGACAAGACAGGTAAACATGCATTCCCAGCCCACGAGGCAGGGTGGGCCCCTCCGGGCAGAGAGGCTGCTGAAATGGGACAAACTACTCTTTCCTTGAAAATTAAAGACAAAAATAACAGCAATGCAGAGGGCTCGGGAACCTGGCCCTTGGCAGTGGCCACAGCAGGAGCTGGGCCATGAGGCCAGCGGGGTGGGGGTGGG